AAATTGCTACAAGTATTGATTCTGAGACTATTATTGATGATTTCAAGCTACTAAAAAACCGTAGAGCATTATTTTAAGGTATTTTTATGTAATACTCTTTAATTATTTCATGTCCAACTATGTGTTTATTACAATTTAAATATTTTATATACATTATAGCATAAATATTTGATTTATAAATTATAGATTAATTTTGTGGCCACGTTAAACTTTATAGTCTGGTTCCGCCACTGGCAACAATACAATGCAAGGCCCCCTTTTTGTACAGATCAAGTGTTGGAGCATTACAATATGTAAAATTAACTCGTGCTGATATTTCATACAATGTAAATAAGGCCGACCAGTTCATGACTAATGCTATTGACAAGTAATGTAGTGTGGTTAAATAGGTTCTACGATATTTAAATGAGACATCCACTCATAACTTACTTCTAAATATTTCCTAAATATTCTCTAAGATCCTCTAGTGACTAAAATTGGACAAGTGATCCCGAAAATCTAAAATCAACATTATGATCATGTATCTACTTTGGTCCAAACTTAGTATCATGAAGCTCCAAAACGTAGCCATTTGTGGCGAGGTTAGAACTAAAGTTAAGTATAGAGCCCTATCATATACTACCTCTGAATTGACATGGCATGAATCCCTACTATATAAATTGAAAATTGATTTTTTTTCCTCCAACTCTATTGTTATCTTATGATTTGGTGATATATGCTAGAATAAAGCGTTGAAGTTGGTCGAAACTATATATGTTGATACTTTTTATGGTGGAATATGATTGTCGGTGAAAATAATGGAAGCTTATGTATCATTTTCAATAAAGGAGAAGATTGTTGGAGTTAGTTAAAAATATACATGTTGAAGAAGTTCCCCATCACTTAGTTTTCTGAATGAATAGAGAGTCCAAAGCTATATATAGGATACAAGTTCTTTGAAGTCTCATATCGCTTAGTTTCGTGAAGGAACAAAGATTCCAAGGCTATATATATTATTCGAGTTCTTCATTCTAAGATGCGTCAGTCAAAATCACTTTAAGCTTGTATTTGACTTTCTTTATTCTCTTATATTCTTGTATTATAGTGTTATGAGATGTAATCAAATGTTTGTTTTGGAAAGTGTGGGTGCACTGAAGGTCTGGGTTAATTTATGGTATATTATGTGTTGTAATAATTTTCATATAATGTTATTCTCTAGTTGTCTATTGAAACAACCATTGTTTTTCTCCTGTTTTGGAGTTTTCGCGTTATGTTTAAGTATTGTGATTGTGTTCTTCTTTGTTTTCTCTCTCTATGTTTTGTTGTTTTTTTCCAACACAAAGCATGTATCTACCTCATCATAAATTGTTGATACTATAACTAAGCTTTACGTATCTACCTCAGCATAAATTGTTGACACTGTAACTAAGCTTTTATCACCAAGTGTTTTCAAGATTTAAAAGCCAAGTTTAAAGAAGTCTTAAGCTACTTTGAGTTTGTGAAGGAGTATTTGTTGTAGAATTTGACCATTCAAATCTTCTCGTAATGACTGATATTTATCCTACAAAATAATAAACAATAATATAAACCTAAGGCGTGTAATAACACTTTCCTTAAGGATTTATTCGTCTCATAAGCGCAAATCCCCCAAGATTCAATAGGTTCTTCCCATAACAAATATGATCAACAGAACAACAAAAAACATATTGCCCAGTTCATGTAACCAAGAAAAACTAAAAGTAATAAGGAATGAGAGACAAAGAGAGTTTTTCACGTTATTTTTGTGTTTTGTCCAAAAGTAAGAGAGTCCTTATATAAGTAAGAGAGAGAATCAAATTTAATGACTTTGAATAAATCAAGTCAACATTAGAATAAAATCATTATTGACCAATTAAATTTTGTTATAAATTATAAATAAATTAAATACTAATAATAATAATAATAATAATAATAATAATAATAATAATAATAATAATAATAATAATAATAATAATAATAATAATAATAATAATTTTCTTTAAAAGTATTTTCTCATATTTGTCGCTTAAAAATTAAAAATAAATTTATTTAAAACTTTTGAAATATAATCAAAATTTTCAACAATCCCCCACATATTTCAAAAGTTCAAAAGAAGAATAAAAAAGAACTTTCAGGATAGATGTGACACATCAAACTAGTGTAGCAAGCTATATGAATTAGTCCTAGAATGATAGTACTTAACATACAGTGAAATTGGTTCAGCAAGCTATATGAACCAAAGACACTTTACGTATGTTAGAGGTCTATCATCCAAATCACACCCCCACATATCTTGTTGTTGACGATGTGGTGCGCTAATAGGTCGTGCGTGTGCTTGGTTGTTTTCATGAGTGCTTTAGAGATTTCGCCAAGATCTCATACAAGTGACTCCACTCGACACTCATATAGGTGATTTTATCAAGTGTATACTGCAAATCATACACCACCAATAAAGGATATGAAATTCATTAAAAGCTATATAAGCTTATCCTCTCAATAATGCAATATCTAGCACTTTCTCATTACACCATAAGAAATGGACGAAAACAAAAATTAATTAAATAATTTTTGGTACTAGCAAAACTAACAAGTGACTTGTTATTACCCATATGAACCTTTTTCATGGGATCTCCAATCACAAAGGCTGAGTCCCCATCATTTGTTAATTTCAATTGGCTTTAAATCCAATTCTCCTCGATGCGTTCACAAATCAATTTTTTCTCGAGACTTTGTTAAGGGATCAACTAAGATCACTTTGATTCGACTTCACATAAATAAAGGATATTACCTCGTTATGTTGTAACTACTTTATACACAAATGAGAAAGACACACATTTTCTTCCTTCAATAAATATTGACTAAGACGTCTCTAAGTCAATCAATCTCAAAAGTTTATTTACTAAGTCTATAATAATAAACTAAGTCTCATTAATTAGACTTATACATGTCAACGATATCTAAATGACATAACTTTCAAAAATATATATTTTTTTCTCAATAAGATATACAATAAATTCATTTATAAATTTATCATGCGGGTCTATTTAAAATACTTTTAAGTGACATTATCTCATTGATAAATAAAATTAAATATATCCACGTATAAACTTAATTTTCTATAAATTAAGTTCGCGTAACATTGTATCATGCTCAAGCATGTGAGCAACCTCCCATATATTCACTATCTATAATAAACTCGATCTCTATAATTAAACTTGTACAAGTTTACTTATACTTCTAATAACCGACATCATTATTTTTAATAAATATAAATATATTTTTAAAAAAATATTTTGGTCTCCGCAATAAATTTACACAAATTTGCTTATATGATTATTAAACGAAATTACTATCAACAATAATAAATATAAATATACTATTTAAATGTTTATTTTGTATATAAGCTTGAATGAGTTTCAAGCGACAATTGTATAAAAAATAAATATACATATTTATATATTTATTCTCATCAGGATCATATTCAATTAAAATCATTGTATTAATTTAATACAATGTTCCCGCCACTAAAATTAATAATATAATATGTTATCTTTTTTAAAGATTTTATGCAGTTAAAATTATCATAAAAATATTTTCACAATACTCATTAAATATAATTTTTCACAAATATCTTTTGATTCTATCAAATGCTCAAAAGATTTATACATCAATGCTAAGATTACTTTTAAATATCACTATTTCTATTTCATTTATTTCTCTCATTCATATCATATATGTATCATCAAAAATCACTTAATTTATTCTCAATAAAATAATTAAGTAATATCTTATAATAAAACAAAATATCTCAATTCATTTTGTTCATACATATATACACCTATCAAATTAAATTCTTCTTATATAAATGTATATTAGAAACTGACTGGATGGATATTATTGCTATTATTTCATACATTAATACAAATTAATTATGTTTTTAAAATAGATGTCTCTGATGGTAGATTAATTGTCATTTATACTGTATAATTGAAATTTAATGGTCAAATTCTCCAATAATCTTAGGGATTTATCTGTCTCATAAACTTAAATTTACTGGAAAGACAGAAAAATGGGAGACAAAGAGAGTTTTTCACGTTAGTTTTGTGTTTTGCCCAAAAGTAAGAGAGTCCTTAATAAGTAAGAAAGATAATCAAGTTTAATGACTTTGACTAAGTCAAGTTAACATTAGAATAAAATTATTATTGACCAATTAAATTTTGTTATAAATTATAAATGAAATAAATAATAATAATAATAATAATAATAATAATAATAATAATAATAATTTATAACAAAATTAATAATAATAATAATAATAAATTTTGTTATAAATTATAAATGAATTAAATAATAATAATAATAATAATAATAATAATAATAATAATAATAATAATAATAATAATTTTCTTTAAAAATATTTTCTCATATTTGACATTTAAAAATTAAAAATAAATTTACTTAAACCTTTTGAAATATAATCAAAATTTTCAACAATATTAGTGTAAATAAGATAGTCAAGTCCTTTATGTAAGTTGGTTAGAGTAGAGTATCAAATTGGTTTATTTCATACCAAACTATCTTTATCATTGTTCATCTCTATTTGATTAATTATAAGTATAGTGGTGTAAGCAAATGTACTCATAATCCTTTGAATGAAAAGTTTCATAGATTAATCTTGTTATGCACGTTGCATAGTCTAATCTTTCAACAAAGAGAAATACTTGTTTTTTTTTTTAATTTTTTAAGGCAAGAGAGAGAATTTGTTTTTTAATTTTTTAATTAATAAAAAAATTATGATTAATTGTTTCTATATAAGTATTTGTGTTCAAGAAAACATCATAGAATAATTGTAACAAAAAATACAAAGAATAATATTATTTATTCCTAGAAACAACTATATTGTTATTAAATATGGAGAACATAAACAACTTATGTGAAAAAATAGAGAAGAACACTACATGCTCTATACCAATACCACAAACACTCCCAAGCACAACACCAAATCAGTTAGAGTTATAAAAGGCTATCATGGGATCATAAACGACTTGTTTAGCATTAATAGCCATAATAAAATCAGCATGTGCATATTCATCTTTATACAATACCACAAGCTTGTCAGCATCATGATTACTTAGATCATTGAGCAAAACCTTCACATCTTGTACATCAGATAGATAATCTTTCCCTCCATAGCTGATAAAAAGAGGGAATTCTTTTGGGATTTTTGTCATGTCATAAGTTGGAGGAACCAGTTGTCCATAGTGTAGTGTGTTTAGAATGCCATAATCATACTTTGCTACTTGTCCCGTTCGGACCACTAAAATTCGATAAAGAAAATCTGTTAGTCCTAATCACAAATGCATAAAAACTAAATGATATAGAGATTAATTTAGATGAAAAACATTTCTTCCTATTATACTTACTTTGGGATAGATGAATCAGGTTCTTTGTTGCTGTTGGATTTGGTTCATGGTCAGTATAGAAATCAAGTCTGGAAGAATTTACGCAGCAATTTGGACCTTAAATGTTTAAAGTTCATTTATAAGTCTTCATATATGCATAAATGTCAAAGTGAAATTTTATCATCATTCCAATAGTAAAAAACAAATTACCTGTGAAAAATGTGATTAAGTTTAAGCAGGGTTGATTTAGAGTGGAGCATATTCCACTCACAAATTTTGCTACTTCATTCCTGATAATCATAAAACATATGATACATTATTTATATCTTTTTTTAACTTATCTTTGTTTACTCAGATAAAACATAGGAGAATTTATTCTCTTACGAATGAGGAATGAATTCGCGTAAACCTAACCAGTAAACATCCTGTAATATCAAACAAAAAAAAATGATATTTTCATAAATGTTAGGTAAAAATACGAGAATAAAATTTAATCTATTTTTTTTTTGCATGAGACTCACGTTAGCTAAAAAGAGTTGTGCAGCAAGTTTTGTTGCTGGTGAAGCAATTTGATTCAAATGAGCAATAGGACTTAGTAATGCAGCTGATCTCAACATATTCAGAAGCTTCCCTTGAGATAAATTAACAAAGGCCACTAAAGTTCCCTGAAATGATTAAATCATTAATTAATTTTTATAGACTAATTGAAAATATTAGAAATAAATAATCAATTAGGGTTAACTTAATTTACCTGAGAATGACCTGCATAGTGTATTTTTTGACCAGTAAGATTGAATACATATTCTACTGATGCAGGAACATCATAACTTGCTAATTCATCCCATGACCATTCCCAGTAAGCCTAATAACACATAATGAAATTAATCAATAATCAACTAAAATTTCTATATCAATTATTTACAATTTTGAAAAGCAAAAGTATTGTATAATTCATTAGGACCATGTCGTGAGTAGTTAGTGATGTGTGTCCGGTGCTATATTTTGTGCCGCGGCCATTAACAAGCCACACATCAAATCCAGCGTCTGCTAAAATAAACCCTAGTGATTCTTCAGGAGAATTGAACAACCATATTGCAGCATCCTGAAATAAATCATAAAAGTTATATATTAACATGTTGATATTTTTTCATCTATACAAAATTTTAGTTTGTGTATGTATACGCAGACACAATACTTACACAAAAGAGGCCATGTTGAATTAACACAGGCGGTTTGTCGGCTTTCTTACCAGACCGCCCCGTCGGGATTCGTTGTAGACTCAAGATGAAGCCATCATTTGTTGTTACAGTATGTTCTTCACATTTGTAACCTTGTGTCTCTACCAAAGTCTTGCAGATACCATCATTGGATACTAGAGAGTTTGCTGAAAATTCATTTGCTTTGTAAATTGATTTTCTTCCTTGTGCTGATACTGTAATGCAAATCAAAAGTATTGACAAAAAACTAATACTTACTTTGTTGACCATTTTGAGAATGTGGTTATGATTAGTTATGCTTGACTATAGAAATATATATTAGTGGTGTTTTATAGAATTTATGGAGTGTAAAGACAAACTTTATGATACTAGCGTTCAAAAAAAATTTGAATTCAAAAGTTAGCTAGTAATATGTGTTTATTGCAAAAAATAAATATTGATTAATTTTGACAGTTTGGGTTGACATATCCTATTTCATTAGTTGGTGTATTTGTGATTTATGGGATAGTTCAAACTTTTGCTTTACACGAATGAAATCTTAAAATTAATGTCAATTTAATACAGGGTTTAATTGTTATGTGTAAAAATGTTTTAAACTCCCCTATAATCAATTTAAAATGTTTAATATGATTGGACGGAATGGATAATCATCATTGGTCGATAAAGTAAAATTTACTTTGTATCACCTTTTTTTTTTCCTTTTATATATATATATATATATATATATATATATATATATATATATATATATATATATATATATATATATATATATATATATATATATATATATATATATATATATATATATATATATATAAGTTGATGACACTTAAGATTGTAATTTGTTAAATTGTGGGTAATTTTATCTAACATAAATAATAATCACTTGATATTGTTTAAGGTTAGTTATAGTTTTGGCTTCTCAATTTGATATATTTCATGAAATTAGTTTCATATTTAAAATTTAAATAGTTTTAGTTTTTTTCTTACTTTTTGTATTAAAAATTGATAAAATATTTATTTTTTATATTATATTGTTATTTATAAAGCTCTCACAAATGACACTTTTCTAGTGATTTAGTGACGTGGTAAGCACGTGGGAAAAAAATACGTTGTCCAGTGAATCTTACGTCATTAACATATTTAATTAATAAATTATGTAAACCTAAAATCTACAACGAAATCTGTGAATTTTAAGAGAGAGGGAAGTTTGAATTTTTCAAAATTTTAGTTGTGGTAATTCAATGGTTAAATTTTTATTGCTGGCAAAGTTCCGACGTGGTGTGCACGTGACAACTTTCCCAAGTAAATTTCACGTCGCAAATGGGCATTAATGTTGTTGGTTCCGATTGCGACGTAGTTTTCACGTGGGTACCTTCTCATGTGTCCACCACGTCGCAAGTCCTTCTTCCCCTTCTCTTCATTCTTCCCCTTCTGCCTCCCTTACACCTTCATTTTTTAACGAAAATTTCACAACAAATTTAAGGTGATTGATATGTATGTTGTTTTTGTGGTTGTTTTACCGTTTATTTTATATTTTTCGAGTTTATTAATTGTTGATTTTTTTTCTTCAATCTAAGATTAAGAAGTTCCATTGAAAGCTTTGAGAGTTAGCTCTATATTGAGGTATTTATGCATTTCAATTTGTTTAGTTTTTAGATTTTGGGTGATATATGAAATATTATTTTAGAATATTGATTATAAAATTTTAGATTTGTTGTTGTTAGATGTAATTATATATATATATGTATTGTGTTGTTGTTTTTGAAAGCTAAAAATAAAAATAATTTGTTATAGAATATATATATTTAGAATTAAAAACATAATATATATATATATATATTAGAAAAATATGTATTTTTAGAAACAAAATATATATTTGTAGAATTAAAAATATAATATATATTAGAAAAATATATAATAGAATATATATTAGAAACAAATTAAATATGTAATTTATTTTTAATTTTTAAAAACAGAATATTTATTATGTTAGAAAAAGTAGAATTTTTAAAAATATTTTTAGTAAACAATATTGTAAATAGAAAAAATTAAATTAAAATTTTTTTAAAACATAATGAATATGTATTATATTTAAAATATGTTATTTTTAAATGTATTATTTTTAAAAAAAGTATTTTTATTAAAAAATAATAAATATGTATTATATATATTTTAAATATGTTATTTTTAGTAAACTAAGTATATATATTATAGAATATTATATTATTGGATACTTATTATATTTTAGTAAACATAATATATATTATTTTAGAAAAATAGATTTTTAAAAATAATGATAAAATAGATTTAAACATAATTTATATTATTTTAAACATAATTTATAGTATTTTAGAAAAAATAGATTTAAACATAATATATAGTATATTTTGAGAATATGTAGTATATTTTAGTAAACATAATTTATATTATTTTTAAAAAAATAGATTTAAATTTGTGCCTAAATAGATTTAAAATAGATTTTAGTGAACATATTTTATTAGGTTGGTGTCGAAATAGAAAAAATAGATTTAAATTACATATTTTATTAAAATGATGTATAATGATAGCACAAATGTGCGATATGAAATATTTTCGTTACTATCGTAATTGGATGCACGATAGAACGTTATCAGGCAAACGTGGACTTACACCAAATTTTGAAGAAAGAGTCAAGGGATTTATCAATTTTAAATATAAAATAAAAAAATTAAAATTATTTAAATTTAAAATAAGAGAATCAATTTTCCGAATTAGTTCAAATAGATAAACAAAAACTATAATTTAAACTATTTTTTAACTAGAAAGTAAATTTTATTTGTAACATATATTGAATATTAAATAAATTAGTTTGTACTTTGTTGAAAAAAAATTAGTTTGTATTATACACAAAAATAAAATAAGGAATGACTATTGTGTCCATGTGGCACTATGTAGCCGGGGCATCAATATATTTAATGCAGGACATCAAGGTGTCTCATTAATGCTTTAAAATTGCTATGTTGACACCCATCTTTACACCCTACACCTCAATTACTGTTCACAAATACTTGAACAAATTCCCCAGAACATGGTTAATAGTGTGTATTTTATTGGTTAATGAAATAGTGAAAGTGGTTAATAAATTATAGGTAAAATAATTGGTTAATAATGTAGATTTTTGTGGTTAATGCAACTGTGAAGTTGGTTAATGCGCAATCTTATATTTGTGTTATAAAATAAATTTTAAAAATAAAACTTTTTTAAAAAAAAAATTAATATTTAAAAAAAATATATTATTTTAATAAAAAAAACACTGTTCACCGTATAAATACGGTGAATAGTGCATACGGTGTAAGTATTAGGTGTAGGAAATGGTGTAGGAATAGCATTTTTCAAAATAAAATTAAGGATCTGGGATCAGTTGCCCCCAATTTTTAGAATGTAGATCTGTCCATTAAAATGAAGTTAATGATGTGGGATATATATATATATATATATATATATATATATATATATATATATATAGATATATATATATATATATTGAGAAGCCAAAACTATATATATTTAAAAATATAATAGTTTATTACAATTCCTTAACAAGAGTACGCCTTTTGCATTGTTGTTATCAACAGACTTGCAAAAATAAATATTACTTGGTAAAATCTTAATTCTAAGTTATTAATTTTTTTTTTCCATTTGATTGTAGAATCTTTTTTAAAGTGTTTTCTAATTTTAAAATATAACTGTAACTGTTAAAAAAAAAGTAACAGTTAACAATATATTTGAATGAAAATTGAATAAATTAATAATTTAACTAAGATGCATTAATATTAGTATAATAAAAGTTTTTTGTTCTAAAAGTTTAATAGTCTGAACTTTTCTATGATGAGAAAGTTTAATAGTCAGAAGTTTAATAAGATTTTTTTTTTCTAACAGCTTAATAGTATGAATTTTCCTAAAATATTGTGCATTTTAAAAATATAAAAATGCAGTTTATTTTTAAAAAACAAGAATTTTCAATTTATCAAGGGTATTAGGAGCACTCCAATTCAATTACAACCAACCAGCAACTCAAATTACAAACATGTATAAAAACTCTAAATGAACTTTCATGAGAATAGGCATGACAACATAATTCATATTTGTGGATATTCATCCGAACCCGCCCTGAAGTTGATGGAAAAATTCGTTTTGATTAGGTTTGGATTTTTTCAATTAAAAATATGAAATTTTTCAATTAAAAATATGAAAACAGGTCGGTCAACAGGGACACTAGTACCCATTCCAAACTTGTCCAATTTATTTCATATTACTATTTAATTTTGTTAATTTTAAATATTAAATATATGGCTAATGTTTTGATTTGTATTAATTATTTAAAATATTTGAAATGTATTTATGAAACTTTTTGAGATTGTTTTATTTTATTACTTGTAATGTAATTTGATTTTGAAAAAATAAATAAATATTTCTATTAAAAAAATTGATTTTACTAAATTGAAATTCTGGTATTCAGATCTCAGATGTCCTAAGAGATGTCAAGTCAAGAACATTGATCTCTGCTAAAAACAGAACAAGGACAGAACACGAGCATTTTGATTTACTTTAAGAAATAACAGTACCATGACAGATGTTGTAACATCTACATACTGACAGAACAATTTATCCAACCATTTAAATTGTGCAGAATTTTAAATGCAGAAAGATAAATAACACAATAAATTGTTAACCCAATTCGGCGCAACATCACCTACATCTGGGGGCCACCAAGCCAGAAAGGAAATCCACTATCAGTAGTATCAATTCAGAGATAAACTCCCTCGTTTACAACCTCTCACTTAATCCCTACCAGTGCAACTTCTACCTAGGACACTTCTAGATATGAGACACCTCTCACTCTCCCTCAATCACAGCAGTGATAACAACAAATGAATAAGCTTTAGAAGACACTCTTCAACAACAATACTTGATCTTGCTTAACAGCTTCAATCAAGAACAATATACAACCTAAATATGTCTACCACGATGCATCAAAAGATACAAATGGTGACTTACAAAATCACACACAAGAGACTCTCAAAACCCTAAACCCTTATTTTGCACCCAAGATCTTCTTGTTATGAATGCTTGCCTTCTTTAGGTCTAGCAAGTCCTTATTTATAGACTCTTCTAGTATGGGCTTGGACTTTAGCAAAAATTACCTCAGATTTGATAAAATCAAATCAAATAATTTTTCAAATCTTTTCATAAGATAATTCTTCAAATCTTTTCATAATTACCAC